GCCTACCCCTGCTGTAGGAGGTGCTCCGAGAGAGAGAGGGTGGGTAAATTAATATTAAATTTAAATAATAATAATTAAAATTCAAAGAAATAATTAGAAAATAATCAAAAATTAATTAAACTTGATTAGGAATAAAACAATATTTTTAAAATAATTAAAATTATAATTAGAAAATAAACTAATTAAAATTAATTAAAATTGGTTAGAAATAAAACTAATTTTTTAAAAAGCAATTAAAATTAAAACAAAATTAAAAATTAATTACAGTTGATTAGGAATAAAACAGTATTTTTTAAAAAAATAATTAAAATCATTTGGAAATAAAACAATAAAATGAATTGAAATTAGAAAATTATTATGTAAAAATAAACATTAAAAATATTAATAAGAATTTTTTTAAAAATAAAAATTAAATGATTTTTTTAAAAATGGGTAATTAAAGAATCTACATGTACATAGGGCACCTGTTTTTTGGGAGAGGTGTGCAGAAAAATGTATGTCTTAACTGATGTTTGTTTGTTTGTTTGTTAATTGTTAATTGTTGTTGTGCCCCACCTTAATCTATGGAGAGAGGTGGGTAAGAAAATATATGTGTACACACACACACACACATATATATATATATATATATATATATATATATATAAAATGTACAGTCGTCCCTCCGTTTTCACAGGGGATCTGTTCCAGACACACACACCCCGCGAAAATGCAAAACCGCAAATATTCAAGTCCCATTGGTTTGAATGGCCATGCATGCCATTTTATCCCTCCCTGCTTGCTGGTTCGTGAAGGACCGAGACCACAAACAGGGAGAGATGACTGTTATATATAATTATACATATTATATAATGTACACATAACGGTACCTGCTGAAATCCAAGGAAAGATAAATGTTAAAAATTCCTTTCTGTTGTGTCCTTCAAGTGATTTCTGACTTATGATGGTCCTAAGGCGAACCCATTGTGGGTCTTTCAGTGATAGAATTTGTTTAGAGGAAGGTGTTTCTCTCAGCCTTTCCCGGAGGCTGAGAGAGTGTGACTTGCCCAAGGTCATTCAGTGGGTTTCCATGTCTGAACAGGGATTTGCACCCTGGTCTCCAGAGTCATAGTCCTAATGCTCAAACCACTAGGCCACACTGGGTTTTCATTGAAGAATAAAATGGAGAGGATGTTAGAGCCACAGGACTAGGTTCTGCCTGATATGTCTTTTGAAATAAAAGCTGTCTTAAATGCTTTAGATCAGGGGTAGGCAACCTAAGGCCCGGGGGCCGGATGCAGCCACCTGAGGCCTTGGACCGGCCTCAGACTGGTCCTGTCGCCACCACCTCCTGCCATGATGATATTGATTATTGTTGTTATTACTTGTTCTTGGGGTTTTCTTGGCAAAATCTCCGCAGGGGTTTTGCCATGGCTTTTCTGGGGCTGAGAGAGTGTGCATGCATATTTTTTAATTTTTTTAAGTCACTCTCTCAGCCTCTGGGGAAGGCAATGGCAAACTTCTGAACAAATCCTGCCAAGAAAACCCCATGATAAGTTTGCCTTAGAGTCGCCATAAGTCAGAAACAACCTGAAGGCACACAACAACGCTGTGTGTTTGTGAATACGTATGTATATGGAGAGAGAGAGAGAGAGAGAGAGAAGTTGTGTGCCTTCAAGTTGTTTCTGACTCATGACAACCCTAAGGCAAACCTATCAAAGGGTTTCCTGGGGCTGAGAGAGTCTGACTCCCAAGGTCACCCAATGGGGTTTCCATGGCTGAGCAGGAAATTGATTCTTGGTCTCCAGGGTTGTAGTTTGAACCATTACATCATGCTAGTTCTCATTCATATAGTTAACTCTTATATTAAATACTAAGATTTAGTATAGGTAAAGGAGCTTGGAAGTGTGGGAGGACTCATTTGACAGCTTGCTCACTTGTGGGAATTCCTTGTTGCTTATAGTGACTGAGATAATGCTTAAATATAGAGCTGTGAATTTTTTAAAAATGCATTGGCTATTCACAAAACAGTATTGATAACACAAACATCCTGGCATTTGTAAGCTAATCTTCCTGTGTGTTGTTGTTGCATGCCCAAGGCTAGCCAGTGGGTTTCCATGGCAGAGCCAGGATTTGAACCCTAATCTCCAGAGTCATAGTCCAACACTCAAACTGATGTTCATCATGTACACTAGAATAATAACCAGCTACTGAAACATTATACAGGTGGCAGGAGCATCCTTTCAAGTTCCTCAGAACAGATTGAATATTAGGTCTGAAGAAAAAAAGATCTAAAGATCTTTGTCATGTACTCATTACAAAGTAGTAAAAGTTAGTTCCAGCTTCTGCCAACCTAGCATTTTGAAAGTATGCAAATGCAAGTAGATGAATAGGTGCCACTTCAGTGGGAAGATAAACAGCGTTCTGTGCAGTCATGCTGGCCACATGGTTACCAGAGTAGTCCCTGACAATGCTGGCTCTTTGGCTTAGGAACGGAGATGAGCACCACCCCCTAAGGTTGGAAACGACTTGACAACCTTGTCAAGTGGGGAATACCTTTACCTTTAACGAACATGTTGTACATGTATGTGTCTGTATGTGCCTTCAGGTTTTCTGTTGATTTATTGTGATTCCGTGGTTTTCTTAGGCAAGCAAAACTCAAAGGTGCTTTTGCCAGCTGCTCCTTCTGAAATATAGCCTACAGCACCTTGTATTTGTTGGCAGTCTCCCATCCAACTACTAACCAGGGCTGATGCTGCTTAGCTTCCAGGATTAGATGGGATCTGTTGCCTTCAGGGTATTTAGGCCTTGTACATGTATATCTGACATAATATCATGTGTTGCAACTGGATAATGGCTCTCATTCAAAATATTATAGAAGCGTGTAGGAAATATAGTTGTCTTAAAACTTTCAAGACTTAGGCTTCTTATTTCTTATGGCTGGGTAGCAATTTTCTTACAGGTTGCAATATTGCATCTACTTATTTATTTATCTTTTTAATTTCACAACTCAGAAGGCGATGGCATTTATTCATCCATGCTATGTGTATCTTTCTCTCATTTTTTTCCCAGAAATGGACGTCGGTTTTCTTCATTTATCATCTTAATACATCCCTCTTTTATTGTATTTTCCATCTGAAGAATTGAAGCAGAAAGGAAGAATGTATCTGGCAGTCTGTGTTATAAGCAGAATTTTGGAGTCAGTACAGCAAAGCTTCAGCCCCAACTCCTCAGTTTTTTTGCTGGCCAACTCCATCCCTGACTCCTTCATAAATGCAGACGTATACACTCGTCCCTCCCTGTTTGCAGCCTCTGTGATCTCGGTCCTTTGAGGATGGCAAGTGGGGAGGGACAAAATTATGTGCCTTGCCATTGAAATAAATGGGGCTTGGATATTTGTGATTTTCCCGATTTGTGGGGGGTCTGGAATGGATCCCCCACAAATTGGGAGGGATGACTGTATTAATAAAAACAAGTTTTACCATAGTAAAATGGTAGCACAAGACATTTCATCATCACCATGTGACTCATCAGGCTACTTAGATAGATGGGACATAAAATATATTTATTTAAGTAAAATTTCTGAACAAGACGACTTTCCTAAATTCCTATGAAAGTAAATATGCATCAAATGAAGCATTTAGTAATTTTTGAAAGCTTTATAACAGAAAAATAGGATATACCTCAAAATTAAAGAACATAAAAAATTAAGACGAACAGAATATAATACTTGTATTGTTACCACATTATAATTTTTAGTTTTATGTAGGGGTTGGTACATTTCTACCAACTCCTTTTTTAAAAAAAATAAAGTATTAAGTTATTAACAATATGACATAGTGGTATAACGTAACTGTTTTTTAACACAACAAATAAGAAACCAAACATTGTATATTATTTCCTTCAAAAGTAAGATTTTCAAGGTTTATATGGAATCTTTGGTTCATAGGTTCAAAGGATGAGAAAGTAAGAAATTTACCATTCAACTAAAATGTCTGTTTGTAGGCATAGATGTGATCGTGGAGAAGGTGGAAACTCCCTGCTGTCAGTGATGAAATTAATAAAAGGGTATGAAATGAATAAAATAAAATATAGTTGCAAAGTATGCCTGAAGAAACTCTCCTGATTTATGTTATGAAAATAGATAGATTCCAATGTGATTTTAGTTGATGAGACCCTGAATAAAATCATAACAGCTTTAGGGTCTATAAGAGTATCTTTAGTAAAAAAATAAAAAAATGGGAGTTTGGGGCTATTAATACCTCCCAGATTTAGATGATCCTTTAGCTACAACACATAACTAGATTACTATTTTGAATAAGCAGTGGTGGGTCCCCCTCCTGGTGAGTTACCTGCAGCATAACCAAATAGGGTTTTCTTTAAAGTTTCTTGGGTTCTTTTGCTTCATCATAGTACTCATGCCATGAACATTAAAATAAATTACTTTAAGATTTTGTTGTTGTTGTTAACTCCCCTCCGGTTAACCCTGATGCATTCAACATTAATTGACATGGTTTCATCCTATGAAATCATGGCATTTGTAGTTTATTGTATGCCTTCAAGTTGCTTCTG